TCACCATCACCATCATCACCCACATCACCACCATCACCACCACCATCATCACCCACCATCATGACCACCGTCATCACCCACTATCACTAGCACCACCCCATCATCACCACCATCACCACCACCACAACTCATCACCATCATCATTACTACCACTACCATAACTGCCACCCCCCACCATCCCCACCACTCATCCCCACCACCACCATCACCATCATTACCCTAACCTCAACCCCCACCATCTCCACCTTCTTTCACCACCGCTGCCATCATCACCTCCATCAGACACCACCACGATGACCACTACCACAACTAGGATCACCACTACTAAACCTAGTACCATCATCACCCCCAGCCCCATCATCACCACCCACCACCATAACCCACCATTACTGTTACCCACAACTACCACCATTACTGTAATCCACACACCGTAATCCACACTCCCGCTGTCCACCACCACCACCATCATTACCACACCCCACTATCATTACCATCACCACCACCACCACCATCACTACCCACCGTGGTCACCATCATCATCACCACCACCACCATCATTCAGTACCACCACCACGTCCACCCCCCCATCATCCCCACCCCCATCCCTGCTACCATCACCTTGACCAGGACTGTCACGACCACAACCCGCAGCCCACAGTAACCACCACCATCATCAATGACCATCACCCACAATGTGGTTGGCTGCTGTTGCAGATCCCGCGCACCATGGACTGCAGTGCTGTTCCCATGGTGCCTTGCAGGTCGTACCGCTGAGCTCCACGGGGTTTTTGTTGGTCGGTGCTTGGAAGTCTATAACCAGGCCCTTCTTCCTCGTCTGGAAGTTCTGAAACCCATTCAGCATCCTATCGGCACACAAGCCTCTGCTCAGATAGGTGCTGTGTGCGGGGTGACATGGCCGAGCCTCAGACCTGGGCTTCCCCACTGGAGATGAGAGTTCTATCCCTGGCCCGTCGATGTGTCCCCACAGAATATCAGCCAACAGCTACACATAGCTAAGTGTCAGGGACAACTCTGAAATAGCGATCACGGAATACCCTCTTCAAACACCAGCTGAGGGTCACCAGAAGCCAACCAGGATGTGCCACCCCCCCTCCCCCCACTGAGCCCAGGGCCACGGGCATCTGTCTCAGGGACCTCATAGGAGAGCGCGGGACTGCCCCGTGCGGTTTCCACGGCTGTCAGTCTCTACGGGGTTCCTGGAGTGTGGACGGCTTCTCACCCGTCACACACAGCACCGTCTTTCCAGACAGATCTGGAAACGTCCATTCCTCGTGAATCTGTGACCCCGGCGGAGAAAACCACATGACTTTCTGATTCCAAGGGCCAATACCAGTCCGTGTCAGCTCACTTGTGTCTAGGCTATCGGTGCGTCTGCGGTCTGTTCCCACCACCCCTCTTTCAGAAACGTAACTGTTCGTTTATGTTTTATCAACTCACCAACATACAGTTCACACATCATACATTGCAATGGTTGATCACGCATGTCAGAGTTGTGCAGCCATCTGTTCAACGATTCCAGTGCGGTCCACGTCACCGTCGACAACTTCCAATTCCCTAGATGCGCACTTCGTACGTTCCCAGTCCCGAGGGTGATTCGATGTTTGCCGCTGGTTCTTCTCGTTGTCAGTTGTGTCCCATCAGCAAGTGGAGGTCCTGAGAGCTCTGCCCCCCCACGCCCTTATGGGGGAGGCAGCTCTTCCTCAGTGCTATTGGGAGCGCCTTCCAACGTGAGGGGCCCGCCTTCTGGCACCAACTCTGACCATGCCCCTGGGGAGGCATGAGGTCGTCCTCATCCGACAATGTCCACCGATATTCACAAGGTTTTCCGTGGCTGATTGCTCCGACGTGGACAGCCTTCGTGTCTGTTCTTAGTCTGGAAGCCCCACGGGAGCCTGTTCACTTTGGGTGACCCTGCTGGCATTGGAAACACCAGTGACGTGGCTTCCAGCATCACACCCACCTCCACAGTCTGACGAACGGACAGACCAGTAGTGAACTGAGCTAACAGCGCCTAACAACAGCAGCAGATCTTTGCGGAAGCAGACTGCCTCCTCTGTCTCCCTCAGAGCAGCTGGTGGGTTCGAACCGCCGACCTTCCAGCTAACAGACTAGTGCTTTCACATTACCTTAGCACCAGGGTTTACCCGCCTGTCATCATTCAGCCAATCACCAAGCACCACTGCCCCAGCGAGAAACAACCGACTCAAACCAACCATCGCCACTCACAGCCCACCCACAAGGGCCCTGCTACACCGACCTGCAGCCGCCGCCCCGCCCCAACCATGCCAACACCCCAACAGGAAGCTGTGGCCATGGACGGCACAGCCAACAACAACTTCTCTCTCAAACACAACAGTGACTCACTGCTGGGCATCGCCATTGCAAAAGCCCGCAGTGAATTAGCAGTCTTCAGAGTGCTGACCCGAACAGTTAGCTGGCACGGAGTTGGTTCTGAGCCCTGTTCCCACCGTGCCCACCAGGATGGAACCCTGCCCTCCCCACGATCCGGTGTCGGCCCACTGTTACCCACCCAGGGGGTTCTTAGTAGTCCATTTCCGGGCCTTTCTTCCAAGCCTGTCTTAGTCTGGAGGCCCCGCTGCTGGCTGTCGTCCGTGAGTGACCTGCTGGCGTTTGGAACACCAGTGGTCTAGCTTTCAGCATCCCAGCCGCACATGAGCCAAAGGGTGACGCAGCCAGGCGCTGCCAGCCATCAGTTTTCCAGTAACCGACAATGCCCCCAGGCTACTCTGTAAGGTGGTCAGCGGCCACTTCCTCTGGAGTGGACAGTCTATTCCTGCTTTGCAATCTGTTCTGAGCCTGGAAGCTCCGCCGAAACATGTTCGCTTTGGGGCGACCCTGCTGCCAGTTGAAATACCGTTGACGGAGCTTCCAGCACCACACCGGCCCCACAGGTGTGACACAAGTGGCAAGCGGTGGCCTTTAAAGATGCGCTAACTCGCTGCCACCGATCGAGTCACGGTTATGCCCCAGAAAACGGCGCTAACCCAAATGCACCAGCCCGTGGCCAAGGTGGAAACTCCGGGTCTCACGGAACAGGCCTGGCTGTTCTCTTCATGGGAGCACAGCGCCAAGCCTTTCTTCTGTGGCACCACGGGCTGGGTTGGAGCTGCCCTTTAAACCTTAGGCGGGGCAACCCTCAGTCCCACACGAGCTGTTTGTGCTGCCCAGCGACCGACCACCACCAAGCCGGCCCAAAGTGGTAGCGCTTGTGTGTGCAGGGCGTATCACAGGCCCCACGGAGGGAGGGAGGCCTTGGGATGTGTGCTTGGGTCCTCTGCATTTATGTGACATTCTTTATCCCCAACCCCCCAGGATGACTTCGGCGCCTCTAGACAGGGGATGTGACCTCCCCCCTGGGTGCCCCGCTCTCAGTTCAGATGGGTTGCTCTTTTCCCCATCAGCACCTGCTTTCCTGACCCAACTTAACCATTTAGGCCACCCACGGTCTCCTGGTCAATCTCCCCCAAGTGGACCGCCGACTCCACATTTCACACGGCAGGGCTGGGCGGTCCCCAGCAGTGAATCACTTCTTGCATTTTCATCTGTCTGTTCATCTCATCTCTCGAACCTCTGGGGCTGGGCGCCAAGCCCCAAGAAAGCGGGGTGCTGAAAGTCCACTCCTCCCAAGGGCTCCTGGGGCCGGGGGTGGGGAGCCCAATGCATCATGGGTTTCCTAGGGGTTGGTGGTGTGTACCTTGCTAGAGGAGTCTAGGAAGAAAAGCCCCTGCAGTCGGCTTCCCTGAAGATGAGTCAAGAAAACCTTCATGAGCACTTTTACCCTGTGTCGCATGAGGTCACCGTGAGAGGGAGCTGGCTCACAGGTAATGTGTTTTCGGTTTTCCCTTTGGGTCTCAGAACTAGCGCAAAGGCCACCTCCCTTCCTCTGCCCAGCCGTTGACACCACCAGCTGCCCCCCTCGGAGATGACACAAAGCGAAAGCTGAAGTGAGCTGTGGAACACGGTGGGGGGAACTCCAAGACCACTGTCACCACTGCCGTCCTCCCGGGACAGTGGCCCACGCTGCTGCAGACGTGCTCCAACCCAATGTTCGCTGCCTGACTTCTCGCCACTCCACTCAGTCACCTGTGCAGGCACCCTGTCACACGGTCCATGTCCCACCTGCCCGCTGCTTCCCTTCTGAGCTGTGAGCAACGCCCCCCACCAGACCCTACTAAAAACCAGGGCACATCTTTCAGTCCCAGACTGACTTTTGATAGGCCCGGGAACCCAGAGGGGAACTGATTTGCCCAAGGCCACACGGGAGGATGGGGAGCCCCGTCAGGCTACACACGGGGTCCCTCGGCCCTCAGGAAGGGGCTATCTCCTTGTCCTTGGGCACACTGTGCTCCTTCAGGGGTCCAGGGTCTTGTTCCCTCCAGGAACCATCCTGTCTCTGTGCCGGTATCCTAGCCACCACTGGATGGGGGCTTGGCGAGCCAGACCAGGCAATGACCAGAGAAGGGACCCCAGCAAGTCAGCCATGGCCTGCCCACCTTCTGATGGGTGTCTCCAGGGCTGGCGCACCCCCACCCAGCATGTCCCAAGTCTGCTCCCAAAGGACTCACCATGGTGAGAGTTGGTGTCCGAGCCCGTGGGGGCACTCGAGTAGGTCCCAGCTGGGGTGCAGGCTCAGGGTCCTTTGGGGGGTGTTGGGGGCATGACTCTCCTCCAGCTCTCTCACCTAACTCCCAGCCCTAGTTCCTCTTGTAACAGCGCCCCCCTCTCACTTCCTTTGGCGGGAGGGGCTGCGGCCACAGAAGAGGGAAGCTGGAGGCGGGGACAGAGCTGGGGTGCAGCAGCAGCAGCAGTGGGGCTGGGGGAAACTGGCTATTTTGGGCCCTGACCCTGAAGGGAGAAGTCGTGGACAGATGACAGCCACTGCCAGGCCCCAGGAGGCCCCTTTTCCAATGACTTGTGGACAGAGCTGCAGCATGGAGCTCTCCGGTCAGCTGGCTGCAGGACCGGAGGCGCTTTGCAGAAACACCAGGGCCGCTCAGATCTATTGAACACTGGGGTGGCGCAAGGTGGAAGGATGGATGCATCACTTCAGGCTGCTCGGGGCGGAAAAACCAAGCCGCTGCCTCGAGAACTGAGCACCTGAGGTGTCAGGGCTTCCTTTTGGAAAGAGATCACCAGGCCTTTCTTCCCAGGTGCTTCTGGCTGGATTTGAACGACCAACCTTTCTGTTAGGAGGCAGCGCGTAACCATTTAGGCCACCCCGGGTCTCCTGGTCACTCTTCCCCAAGTCTCTCTCCTGTCCCGGCAGGTGTGTGTGGGGGTGATACCAGGCACAAGGGGTAGGTAGGGTATACCTACGAACCCCAGAATGGAACGCTAGTGCTAGGTTCCGGTTTCCCAGAACCTGGTTTTCATCGGTCAGAGGCGGGCTCTTTTAAATGGTCACTGCTGTAGGTCCCCAGGGGACATTTGGTGGGGAAGGGAGGCATGGGAGGTTGTCACTTCCCCAGGCTGGACCAGGAGGTGTGGAGGCAGAACCCCACCCTAGCTAGAGAAACCTGGCCAGGCTGCTGCAAGTGTCCCCAGGGGTTACCCTCTAGTGGCCACAGAAGGGAGCGCACCCTGTCCTCAGCGTGGAGACTTGAGCGCGTTGACCCTGGCTAAGCAGCTGACAGGTGCTGGGAGTCACCCCATCTTGCTGGGGGTCAGGAAAGGCTTCTGGGGGAGCTGGAGGGGCCGAGTGGGTGGTGCGGCAGGGGAGGATGCCCCTGGCTGGAGCGAAGGCCCGGAGGTGGAGCAAGAGGGTGGGAGTGAGGAAATTCACTCCTGCTAGGAGTGGGCGGAGCTGCTAGTGTCAGGTCAGGCCTTGGGGAGATGCTGACTATGCTGCCAAAAGTCCCCTTTTGAGACCCACTTGTGAGTGGTGCAGGGGAGGGAGGGACCCAGATACACCCCTACCCACGCAGAAATCTACACGAGACAAAACTTTATTGATGAGGGGGCTTCCCGGTGTGGCGTTTGTGGGCCCCAGGGCAGGGCCTGTAGCACCATGAATCGGGGAAGCTGGATGGCAGGCCGCCCTGGGGCAGGCAGGGCTGAGGCTGGCTTGAATCTTCCCAGCTCCTCGACACTCCTGCAGCTGGTCTGGTCAGGGGGATGGTGGTGCTAAGCCCCCTCCTCCCAGCTCGGAGTGGAGGGGGACGGGCAGTGGTGGGGACAGAGCACCAGTAGACCCCCCTTTCCCTTCCCCCCTCTTCACAGTACATATTCCCATCAAAGGGACTCCCTAGGGGTGGGGGGTAAGGCATCTTAGGGAGAATAGCTGTCCCCGCCCAATCCCATCCTGGAGGGGGCGTGTCTTACCATGTGAACTGGCAGGGGGGCTGAAGAGGGACCCTGGAGGTGATTAACTCCTCCCCATCCCCAGTCTGGGGGCCCGTCAATAAATAACTTCAGGTTCCACCCCACCTTTCACCTCCAGCTCCCACCTGCTCCGCCCCCTCGACCAGCCCAGGGCAGATCTCACACTCAGCGCTACCACCCCGCCTCCCCTCCCACCCGTGGGCGCCCAGCTGTGGCTCCAGGTGCCGCGCGTCCGTCCCCTAGCGGCCCTGGCAGGTTTTACAGCACATCTGGCGGAAGTAGGCTCGGCTGCAGAACTGGAATTTGAGCACCAGGGGGCAGTAAGCGACCTTGTTCACATCCTTGCACTCTGGTTGTGGAAGAAGAGGGTGGAAATCAGGTCAGCGGGGGTGGGAGTGGGGGTGGGTGGGGCGCCTTCTTCTTGCACAATATTCTGCTTCTCTGTGCCACCCGCTTTCAACCGTCAAAAACCCAAGCCAGTTGATTCGGACTCCTGGCGCCCCTGCGTGTCTGAGTAGACCTGTACTCCACAGGGCGGCTTTCAGATGCCCTTGAACGTCCCACTTTTCCGTGAACGGCCAGGTGTGTTTACACTCCCTAAGGACTCCTTCAGCTTACAGTACTACTAATGTCGTCAGGAAGGGGTTTGGTGTCTGGCTAATTTGCAGCCATGCTGCCGTGTCAATTCTGACTCGGGTTGCCCCATGTATGCAGGTAGAACTGGTCCATGGGGTTTTTAATGGCAGGGATCTTTCGGACGCAGATCACCAGGCCTTCCTTCCACAGTACCGTTGGGTGGGTTCTAATGGTTAACCGTTTCATCGAAGGACCTTGTATATATAGCACACGGGTGCACTTCATAAATGTTTCGGGGAGGGATTAGGGGCGGATGGCTTGGTGGAGACAAGGGAAAACATTTTGACCATTTGGGAAGTTATAGGGTCCCTGGTCCTGTCCCTCCAAGCCCTCCTGTGGTGTCCTTGCTTCTGCGCAGTGCCCCCCTCAATCGTGGTTTGCCCACCCCATCTCCTGCCGGTGTACCTTCTGGGCCGTCCTCAGCGGGTGCACTCTCGCACTTGGCCTCGCACTGCTGCGTGGCGGGAGGTCTCAGCGCCTCGGTGCACTCCCGCGATGGCTGGCCCGTGTGGCTGTTACAGCGCACGGGGCGATGCTGCTGCCCGAAGCCACACTGCGCGGAGCACTGTGGAGAGTTGCCACTTGCCAGCCACTCCACCCACTTCCACCCTGCCCTCCCCCCAACCCCCCAGGCACGCCTTCCTACCTCGCCCCACTCGCCGGCAACCCAGCGGGCCGGGGGGCAACGGCGCAAGTTGCAGCGCATGGTGGCTGGTGGCTTGGCTGCGGGTGAGCAGTGCGCAGGGGCTAGTGTGGCACGTTGGTCAGCGCTTTTACAAAGGACCACGCGGTGGCGGAGGCCGGGCCCACAGCTGGGGGTACACTGTAGGTGGAAGGGGGTGTTCCACCCTGGTCCATAGGTGCGCAGGGTGTTGGCATCCCAGGTTGCCACAAGCGTGCAGGGAGAGGCTGAGTGGGGGGTGGTGACATCTCACTGGTCCCGTTCAAAGGTCAACAGGAAGCTTGGTGGGAGGAGCTTAACCCTGGAACCTTGAGCACCCCAGTCTCTGTTCTCTATGCGCAGGGGGTGGGATGGGCGCAGGGGGGCTGGGGAGAGGGCGCGGTTGCTGACCTCAGACCAATCAAGGGCGGCCCACTCTGGAGGACAGGTGGGACCCTGGCAGGCCTCAAGCACGGGAGGACGGGGCTGTGTGCATGCGCTGTCGTCCAGCGCCTTCTCCTCCGCACCAGACACGCGGCGCTGGCACACAACAGAACGGCTGCGCACGCCGACGTCACAGCTGCGGCTGCAGCGGGACCAGTTCCCTACGACCCAGCTGCAAGGGTGAGGGGGGATGAGGCGGGAAGAGATCAGAGAGGTCACGCTGCCGCCCCCAGGCCCTGAGGCACCATCACCTCCTTGGCCTCTGCATCCTTATGCAAACCGGCACCAGGAGGGCTGTTGCCCCGGCAGGCGCATGCTCCTGAGCTTGAGAGACCTGTCCCCAGTGGGCCACTATTGGTCCTCTCCACGTGGAAGCAATCCACGAACGGCCCAAGCACTGGAACGCCAGCCTCCACAACCTGAGAACCGAGAGGAGCTAGATGGTGCCCTGCCACCTTTACCAGCCGCTTTGGAAAGGATCACCTCCAAGGGTCCTGGACTGGATGGAGTGGGCGACAAATGTGGAAGGAAACTCAGACTCATGAGCCCAGCCTTACTGGTTGGATGGAGACCGGGAGACGATGGCCTTTAGTCATCCGGACTGGAATGGAACTCACCCCCTGTGGTTCAATTTTCCGCCAAACAACCGAGAGGGCTATCAGAGAAACAAGGACACGAGGGAGAGACACACTCCCTAGAATCATAAACCGTTTGCAATCCAAAGGGCAGCCCCAAGTCAAAGTTCAGCAGGGCTGAGAAAGCAGGAGCCCCGGTAAGGAGGTGCCTGAGGGCACTGTGCGCGGGGACAGTGGCGGGGGACAACTCGCATGTCGGAATGGAAAACTGATGACCTGGTCTGCAAACCGTCCCCCAACTCACCAGAGAAAATTAAAAGAGAAAACAAAATTAAAAGAGAAAACGAGGGGAAGAAAGTGAGCCTGCGGGACGACATTAACGGAAGGGGAGATGCTGATGTCTGCCCCATGGTTGGCTTGTCCAGGGAGCACCGACGTTCTGACTCTTCCTCACCTTGGGGGTGCACGGTGACCCCAGTTATGGAACTATTGGCACCCCGATGCCCTCGAACATAAGAATTTGGGGCGCACTACTACCCTCAACGCCCACCAGATCTGCTCCCTATCCCAAGGGCATTCCCCCTACCCTGGGCGGCCCCGCGCACTCACTCTGGCGGGCAGGGCTCTGTGTTGCAGGCACGCTGTCTCTTGGGCAGCTTGCTGTGGGCGCTGCAGTGGTGCGGGGCCACGGCCGCGCTGTCCAGTTGACTGCGGCACTCCACCGCCTGCACCTGGCTGCCTGGGGAGGGGCGAGAGGCCCCGCTCAGTCCTGCCGCCCTCAACCCCGCCCCCGCCAGGCGGTCCACCCCCACCAGCCCTCCCCACACAGCCTCACCACCAGCGCACTGAGCAGAGCACTTGGTCCAGGGCGCGTAGTGCCAGGTGTAGGGCGGCAGGGCGTAGCGGGAGATGGGCGCGTTGAAGCGGTAGCGGAGGGGGGGTAGTTCTGTCCGTGCCAGCACCTGGTGAGTGGGACATGCGAGTGGTCACCCTGGGGCTCCAGGCAGGCTCAAGCCCCACCCTACACCCCGCCCCGTTGTTACCATGACAACGAGAGATACGTTGATAGGGCCCAAGGCTTCCAGGCTTTGGGTCTGCTCTGGCCCCTGCCGGAGGTGAAAGGTGGTTCCAGCCAGGGGCAGGCGGTGGGGCTGCGGGGTCCCGGGAAGCCCTTCCAGCAGCAGGGACTCCTGGTCCCCCTTTAGGGCTGGGAGATGGTGCAGGGGTCAGAACTTCAGCCTCACTGGTCCCCCTACGCCCCGCTCCCCCACACCCAGCACCACCCTCATACTCAGCTCACCCAGGTGACTGAGGGAGAGGTTCAGGTCCTGGATGAAAATGTGGACGGAGCCTTTGGGAATCCAGACGACTTCCTCGTACCCTGGACAGTGGCACTCAGATGTCGCCCAGACGTCCAGTCCCTCAGTGTAAGACCTGCCTCCTCCCCCACCTCTGGCCCCCTGATGACCACACATAACCATAGGGACCCCCCCCATCCCCAGTCCCGTAAAAAACCCAATTACTGTCAAGTCTATGTAGACTCTTAGCAAGCCCCCGTGCATGGAGTAGACGTGGGTCAGGGTTTTTGTTTTTTTCCATTGCTGAATTTCCAGGAGGAGATTGCCAGGCCTGTCTTCCAAGATGCCCAGGATGGACTTGAACTTCCATCCTCTTGGTTAGCAGCGAGCACATTAAGCATTCACACCACCCAGGGCCTCCCTCCCACCTCCCATCAGACATCCCAAGCAGCAAGGTTTGGCACCAGGGCCCCGCCCAGCATCATCACTAGGGAGATGATCATTAGCATCACTGAGCCAGATCTGGGGGCTCCCAATGGGGGTATGGGAGGGAATCTGGGGTCTCTCACCGGCCCCCAGCAAGGCTAGGTTAAAGACCCCCTCGATGGTCTCGCAGGCACTCCCGTCACCACCACACACACGACACTTGTCCTCACGCAGGTCGGAGCCCAGGACACGATCACAGCCCACGTGCTGCGGAAGGCCGGGGTGAGGCTCAGGGAGGTGCCCACAGACACCCTCCCCTCCATGCCTCCCTCTCCCGGGCATCCCCTTCCACCTTGCACTCGCCGCTGACGCAGATGTCCACTGTGTCTGGGCGGCAGGGTGTCCCGTCTACTACGGCAGCTGCCCGCTCCGTGTAGAAGTTGAAGCCCTCGGCTAGGCACGTGAGGGAGCAGGCCTTCACGCCCCCTGGGGGGCACGGCCCCGTCACACCAAGGGCCCTGGGAGTCCTGCCAACTCCCGGGGGGTGGGGTGGGGTGGGGTGGGTACTCCTAGCGTCCTATTGCAGCCTGTTCCTCAGACTCTGACTGTGCTGCTGGTCAGGGGCGGGCTCGGGGCAGACCCTGAGATGCAGCCAGGCACTCCCACACTGTTCTTGTAGCGCCCCCCACTCACCTCCTCTGTACGTCTTCCATGTGTAGAACTTCCCTCGGAAGGGGATGCTATCAAATTCGGAACATTGCATCTCCCTGAAGTCCTGGGAGCCTGGAGGACAGTCCTGGGGATATGGGAGGGACAGAGACCAGCTATGGGATGCTGGTGTCAGGGAGCGGCCCGGGAGAAGCCTATGTTGACTCTGGGGTGGCAGACAGTGACCTGGGCTAAGATGTATGTGAGGTGGGACTTGGTGACTGGTACAGTGCAGGAGCATTCCTGCCTTCCATGCTGGGGACCTGGGTTCAATTCCTGGTCAGGGCAGACACCACCATCTGCAGTAGAGGCTGGAAGGTTACTGGGATGCTGGACAGATTTCAGAACTAGATGGGCTAGGAGGACAGCCCAGTGCTCTACTTCTGAAACTCAGCCCGTGAACACCCAATGGACTTGCATCATCCATCCACACCCAGTCATGGGACGGTGCTGGACTGGCAGCGTACGTAGGTCCTCTTGTGCGTGGAGCCCAATCAGATGAAAGCAACAGGTGACTCATTAAAGGGTGGGGCACGTTGGGGGTGACACCTGGGCAGCCAACAGTGGGGGGCCTTTCTGGAGAGAGGGGCCCCCCACAGGGGCAGACTCTGGGTTGGGGGGTTCAGAACTTCATGAATATCAGGGACCTAGAGGAACGATCTACCTCTAGCACTCAGCCACGGGGAAACGCAGTGTGTAAGGAGCAGTAGACCCTGGAAGAAAGGCCTGGCGATCAATCGCCAATGGAATCAGCCATGCTGAGCTTGAATATGTTAGGACATGGAAGATTATTATGAGACCAGAAGACATGGATGGTGCCCCGCTCCTGTTCCTGAACACTGGGACGGAAGAACCAACAGCCGGATCCAGTTTAAAGAAGGCAAAATGCGGGACTTCATTTCAAACCCACACGGATGCCAGACTCCTGGGGCTCCATGGAGACAGAGGAACCCCAAAATGTCATGCTTGGACTATATCTTTGCCTTGAGCACGGTGCTCCCAGAAATGATGATCTACCTGGGACCAAGAGGTAAGGGTCTAAATAATGATGAAACAACAGTGCGAGTGGGAAGTGTGTAACCAACTAGAAAAATGGATGCCTGCTTGGCTGCACAGATTGCCACCAAGAATAATGAACTATTAAGGGAAAATGAAGAGTCAGAAAGGGTCAGATCCCTTGGGGTCTAGGGGCAGGGGCGGGTGCTGCGGGTGGAGCTATTTTCCCGAGGGTTGAAGGGACCATGGGTACTGGGTTTAAGGAGACTCACGTCCATGTTGCAAGACCGGTACCGCCGCCTCTCGCCCAGGCAGTACTTGCCCCCAATGGTTGGCCTGGAGGACAGAAGGGAAGAGGCAGATGGAGTAGGGGACGGGGCACACAGGGTGGGGACCGCGGTGGGCTTCGGAGGCCTGACCTTGGGCTGTCGCAGTGCCGGCTGGAAGAGGACACACCGCCGCCACAAGTCCGGCTGCAGTCACCCCATGGGGTCCACGAACCCCAGGCTCCATCTACACCCTCTGGGCGTGATCCGAAAGGGACACACACGCGCTTGTAGCACCACTGTGGGAAGACAGGAAGGGAACCAGAGGTGAATCCGGTCCCCTCCCTATCCTGGTGGGATGGGCCAGGGCCTGGGCAGGTAGATGTGACTGGAGTGCAGGGCGGGTCCAATCCCCAGACAAGTACCAGAGGCGTGGCTGGCGCTCACCCCCTTGTCGATGGTGTGCGTCTGACACAGCGTGCCCTCGGCGGCCGGGATGCTATTGGTGATGCACCGGTTGCTCTTGCTCAGACACCACAGCTCGCTGCAGACCTCCTGCGGGCCGAGGTGCTGACTCAGGCTCACCCTCCCTTCCCCCCGACCCGGGCTAGGGAGAACCAGCCAGGGGAACGCCCTGGCACTCTGGTCCTGGGTCTTGGTAGGCCTTCTTGGGTCCCCTCCACCACCAAAAGCTATACCGATGGGTGTCATGGGCACCTTTGGGCAAATTGTCCCCATCACACTGTGAGACATCTAAGTCACAGCCACAGCTAACGTCCGTGCAGTCACATTCTGCAGTTCATACTGATGTCCCCTCCTAAGGAGGGCCAGGCAGGAATCTAGCTTCCTTCTGGAGACACTATTGGTTCTGGAAAGTCAGGTTCCCTCACCTAGCCTGGGTGGCGCCTGAGGTGTTTAAGCAATTTCGGGGGGTGGGGTGTGTGAACCAGGGGATGAGGCAAGCTGGGCCTGTGTGAGGTCTTCTTCCTCCAGTGAAAAACCAGCCCATTGTCCTGTTTGAATTCCGCCTGGGCTGGCACCAAGTTCTGTCATGGGCCGGGAGTTGGTGCAGCCCTGGCAGGTTCAGCTGTGGCCTGACCTAAGGCTCTCTACCTTCCATAGGGTCAAATTCATAGGCTCCCCCTCTGAGATGGGGAGACCCATCAGTGCCTTTTAATTCCGGCTCCCAGGCCCCCCAGTGCCTTTATAAACACACACTTCACTCCTCTCTTTGAGCCGAATCCTCCCACACTGAGACTTTATGGTTAGGCCCACCATTGACTGACTGTAAGGAGGGCCAAGCCTGCACCTGAGAAGTGTGGAGGGTTGTCTGCTCCCACGCAGCATTCGCTCCAGGGTCCCTGCCTGCTGCCCCTTCAAGAACATGTCTCAACTGAAAACTCCGCTGCCTGTCTTCTCTTGATCCCCTTAGCCCATGCCCTCTGGGTCATTTCAGAAACGATGTTAGCCTGCCCCCAATCCCACTTCTGACACCTCTTAAAGAGAACCCACTATTCTGGCTATTTTAGGCCTTTTCTCCATAAGGGGGTGCTGTGGTATAGCTGAGTGAGTTTCTGGCCACCCATAAAGGCCTGAATCCAGGCAGTTTCCTCAGCGACAGGATGACCAACATAATGCCTGCGTTCCTACATGACAAGGCGGCGAGGTCTTGTGACAGGGAGATGTGATGGCTACTAAGGAACAGTGACCACAGAACAGCCATCCTTGGACCAGATCCTTCTGTATGTGCATACAGTCAATAATTCTCCTAATCCAATCGCTAGTTAACATCAACCCATGCTTGATGTTCTGACAGGTTCCCCCTCTCTAACATTTAGAATTTGGAATCAGAGAGGCTTGGGTTAAAATTCCTGCCCGGTCATGTCCTAGAATTGGGGTCATGGACAAGCCCACCTCCGAAGGCTGGTCCCGTCATCTGCACCATGGGGACAGACTGCAGGACCACCCTGGGTTTAGAGATGATCCAGACAACATGCTTAGTGCAGTGCAAGTGCTCTGAGAACATCCAGCACACAGTAGGTCCTCCGGGGTAGCTTTGGAATCCTTTAGGGATTTACCGGGAGAGCCCTAAAATCACCAGCTGAGTTAGGGCTGCGGTAGTGGTGGGAGCATGGGGATGTTGATAGACATTTTGCCAGGGCTGGTCTCCTTGTCTTGCCATGTCAGTTGTTTGGTGTTTGAGAGCCAAGAACATGAAGCAAGGGCATTTCAACAGGCAGCAGCTAACTGCCGTGGCATTAGCTCGAACCTGGCCTACACACTTCCCCTGGGATCCTTTCAGCTATGAGGGTGTTAGAGAGTTGTGGGTGGGCCCTAGCGGTCAACACTGTTTCTAGGGAGCTGAGGGACAGACCCTGGTTGAGTGGTGGCTTTGGGTGGCAGGGCAGGAAGTCGACTAGATTCCAGTATCGAGGGGGGAGCAGCTGGTATGACTGTGGGGCCCTGGCTCCCTGTCTGTGGGGCTTTGGGAACTGGGTCTAGACCTTATGGTGGTGGGAGGGGGCAATGATCAGGGGGCTCTGAGCCCATCTGGCCAAGGATAGGGGCCAGGAGGCTCACGGGGACATGGGAGTTAAGACAGGGTGTCCCTGGAAGGTGTGGTCTGGTGTTCTCCCCAGCGAGGAAGTAGGCCTGTCCTCAGGGAAATTACCTCCACCCAGTCTGGCCATTTGGTTAAAAAACTGCCCGATTAGTGGGGGGTGTCTTAAGATTTCGGCCCTTGCTCATCAGTGGCTTTCTGAGGGCTCTCTTCTGTCTAGCCCTGAAATCTGGACCAGCCTGGAGAACCATGAGTCCCATTCCAGGAAGGCCTGTTGTTCCCAAGGGTGACCTGTCTGAGACATCCATCTGTCTACCTTGCCCCCAGCGGGGTCACCCCTATCCCGGTGGCCATGCCCTCTACCCTCCCAGGAAGGAAAGCAGGAAGGCTCTCTCTACCCCGTATTTACACTGGCGCGATTTGACTCCGTGCTGGAATCGGCACTGCTCATCCGCATCGTAGGCCTGGCCCGGTGCCACTGTCGGGTACACAAAGTCCCGTCTGGGGGGCCGGTTGTTCAGGCACAGCCCCAGGCCCGAGCTGCGGTGAGAGGGGACCAGCTGTCACATCAGGGATGCTGCAGGGGGCCCCCAGGGAGTGGCCCTTATCTCCCCAGCGGATGGTTCCCTTTCTCGGAGCCCACCCATCCCCGCCCCCCTCCCGTGATTGCAGTCCCCATCCCTGGCAGGCCAGTGGAGGGGGGGGGGGTCCTCACTCCAGAAAGCTGGTGATGTAGTCGCGGCTGCAGGATGACCACACGAACGGGTTGGTCTTCATCGTGATGTGGGCAGCCATGAGCTTAGCGGGGTCCTGACCGCGGGCCCCACAGCTGTTCCCCACGCCGTCATGGTTCATGCCGAACCTGCGGAAAGGAGAGGGCGGTTGGCTCTGCAGGCTGCTGGGGGGACCTGGCCAGGCCCGCCCGCATCCCCGGGGCCTCACGTGTGTCCGATCTCATGGGCGATGGTAAACGCCGTGGCCAGGCCGATGTCTTCGTTAATGCTGCAGCTCCGCTCCCTCTCACACATCCCGCCCACGGGGGCCAGGCCTGGGAAGGAGCGTGTGGGTGGGGTTGGGGGGCGTGCTCTGGGCTGGCCACACCCGTCTCGCGGGGTTTCCCCTCTGACAGGCTCCCCCAGCCCACTGCCTGCCCAGGGGACCGTCACCTATAGGGGTCAGGTACCTAGCGTGCCACAGGGCTTGTTCTTGTAGATGCAGATATCATAGCTGTGGAGGGAGAGGGAGAGGAGTGAGGAGAGCCCCTGAGCCCCCGGGCTCTCCCCACACGTATCTTTGGGGGCTGAGCGTGGCATGGACTTAGCCTTATGCACTGCCTGCCCCCAGCTGACTTCCGGGTTGCCAAGGGCCTGCGTGCGACCAAATAAATGAGCGAACAGGAGAGTGAGTGTGAACGCATCAGGGCTCAAATGGTCTCATACCTCTGCCTTTCCAACATATTCCCCGTGGGCCCTCTGGGTCCCTGGCTCACCTTTCCACCCATCCTGTCTGCCCCTCCCAGCTTGGACCGTGGTGGTCCCTGGCCCTCCGCCTGGCCCCCTGGGCACTCACCGTGTGATGAGTACTGCCGTGTCATGGTTGGCCACCCCGTTCTCTGGGATGGCGTTGCCATGGCCGCTGTGGTTAACGATGGATTTCTGCCACTTACAGAAGCTGTCCAGGGACTTGCCAGCATGGTGGGTAATCTCCAGGGTGGGCTGGGGGCAGACAGAGTGAGGCACATGGTGGGTACCAGCCACAGCATCTCGGGGAGGGCGGGCAATGCTGGTGTGGAGGGTACGGGGTAGGGCACCTGTACCTGGTCCTCTGTGAGGAGGATGAGGCGTGTGACGAGGATGTTAATGTTGTTTCCCAGACTCGAGTCCTGGAAAAGTTTGGCAACCTGACCTCCAAGAAACAAGAGAGACGGAGTCTTAAGAGGAGCCCAGAGTGAACACAAAGTACTAAAGGAACACACAACCCCCCCCCAACAGCCGTCTCCTACCAGGCCCGCTACTGTCTGGCCAGCTTCGGGCGAAGTCAGCTGCATGGATCTGCTCAGGAGTAGCTACTATATTCACCCCCGTTTTACAGACCAGCAAACCAAGAGAGGGTAGGTCAGCTGGTTGGTGTCAGAAGTGGGATCCAAGGCTTATTACTAGCATGTTTCTTTTCAACTCAATCCCACTCCAGTTTGTTCCCCTGCCTGCCCACCCTCAACTGGTTGCCGCGACGGTGTCACCCCGAGGAAGTCCGAGAGAATGGGCAGACATGGCTGAATTCTACGGTTTTCTAAGGGCATCTTGGGAAGGTGGGACTACAGAGACACAGGAAGTTCTGGAGCCTGTGGTCGGAGGAGAGGAAGTGGGCCAGGAGATGATGGGGGAACCAGGAGGCCAGGCTGTGCAGGAGCCCTGGGCATCACTGCCCTCTGTAATACCCCTCGGGAACCCTGGGGAAAGGTTTCAGGAAACTTGGAATACCTGGAAGGCAGAACGTGGTGGCCCCAGAGACGGACACTGTGGGCTGTCTGCGAAACCTTCTTGTCTTCCCATTTGGTGCAGTGAAACAAGCACTATCAACCTATTACTAACACACCATTTACCAGTGTGTGTCAAGTGCTCTATCCAGCTTCGCTCACACCTGTCCTTCCCCTATGAGGTACCTGCCAGTGCTACTGAGTCCAGACTCCCAAAGGCCCCATTATGTGTGTCAGGGCCAGAACTAGGCTCCACAGAGCCTTCAATGGCCGAGTTTAAAAATTTCTTTTCTTCAAAAGCAGACCAGGCCTCTCTTCTGGGTTGCCTCTGTGCGTACCCAAACCTACCACCTTTCTATTAGCAGCTGACGGGCCCCTCAGGAACTCTGCCCTGGGAGGCAGTTACCATTAGGACTGCATTTTACAGAGGGGGAAACGGAGGGCCAATGAAGTCAAGAGTCTTGGTCAAGATCTAGTTTGACCTGGAATGTAGTGTATGTTTGTGTGAGCCGGGGTCATCAGCTTGCATGCATTTACAGGGAGGCGTGCTTGGCGAAGATAACCGAAAGGTCCGGGGTTCAAGTCCACCAAGCGTTCGTAAAGAGACACCCGAACCAACCCAACCTATCACTGTTGAGTTGATGCTGACACATAGCAACCCTATAAGACAGAGCGGAACTGTCGTCCCCTAGTGTTTCCATGGCTGTTGTCTTTGTGAAGATTACCAAAGGTTGGCGGTTGAAACCCACCAGCTGCTCCACAGGAAAATGAAGATTCCCACCTTGGAATCTTCCTACTCTTTCATGCGTGGCTGTTCTGAGTCGGAATCTACTCAATGGCAGTGTTGTTGTTTTTTTGTGTTTTTTTGGGGGGGAGGGGACGAAGGCTAAGTTGAGAATTTAGCGAGTGCTTGTGTGTGTTGCTAACCTTACCTAGCACCTGAAAGGCCTGCTTCTTTTTATGTGGCAGAAAGTATGTGGCACGTGCCGTGTGCTAAGCACTGTTCTCGGTGCTGTATCAACCCATTGCATCTTCCACACCCTTATCCAGTTGGGCCTATTCTCCTCCCCATTTCATAGATGGGCAAACCAAGGCTATCAGTGACAGCAGGCTGGCTAGTCAAAAGGTTGGCGGTTCAAGTCCACCCAGAGGTGCCTTGGAAGACAGACTGTTGATCTGCTTCTGGAAAAACCAGCCACTGAAACTGGATGGTGCACAGCCTGGCGCTGACTCACACTGGGGGCCATCAGTCGGATCCACCTGAAGGTGATTTGACTTCGTGTTGGTATTTGGTATGGGAGAAAGGCAAAGTATGCTACCCAAGGGAACACAGCTAAGACACAGCTGTGATAATGATGCAATTTCATGTCAACATGATCAAAGGATGAAGGGGTGGAGTCCAGCCTGTCAATCAGGTCACAACCTGATGACCCCTCCTTGTGGGTGTAGCCTTCTCATGAAGATTCTGGGAACTTCCTCTCTTGATTCTACCACCAGAGGAGGCGGGCCACTCTCTCTCTGCTTCACCTTCCTGTTGACAAGCTACATGGAGCCACGCTAATGGCAGCGAGAGCCCTAGAGATGCCTCCATCACCACTGGATCCACAAGACTTTGCATCCACTGGCTGGTGATCTTCCTGCATTCTGCATCATAGCATGGGCTAATGTCAGATATGTGGGCTAATATCGAACTTATGTGCTTGATTTGGACTGGGCTGGGATGTTTTATTGATGCATCATTACTTCTTGATATAAAGTTCTCTCTTACATATACACGAGAGTCAATGAAATCGTTTCTCTAGTCAACCTGGTCTAACACATTAGTTGAAATGTGAACTGCAGGCTCCAAGCTCCCAGTCACTGCACTCTGCTGCCCTCCTAAGTTCAGTGTCAGGTGCAGGACGCCACCCTCACCCCCCACCCACTCCATTCGATTGCTCTAGTCCAGGTCAGGGACGGGGTGGGGGAGGCACTTACAATGTTCATGACGGCCAGCACGTACTGCTCTACGTCTCGGCGCCCGTGGTAGGCCACCATCATCTTATCGGCCACCACCAGCGTCTCCACGTAGCGCTCACGGCTGACCGAGCGCTTCAGGCCCGGCTGGCCTCGCTCCGTTTCATTCCCCAGGGGCCTGGCTGGCGACGGCTTCAGGGTGCGTAGCCACCACGGCCGCCCCTTCCATGGCTTCTCATCTGGGGGATGCAGTATAGTGAGGAAGGTGCTGACCTTGTACCATACCTGCCTAGCTGGCTGTTTTTCTCACCAACTGCTGGGCTAGGCAGCTTCCGGTCACCCTGCTCCTGTTTTTACTGCCCACTCCCCTCTCTGAAGGTGCATGTGCCCGATTGGCTGCCAACACCGCCCGATTCAATTGCACAAGTGCCCCACTCTCTGTTCAGTCTAATGCTATAGCGGCCGTTGCCACACTGGCTGCATCACAGCTCAACTTCCCCGTTGACTGTTGTATGACAGCCCCGCCTACCCATTACCCAGCAACACCGCAATGTCTGTCTGAACCAGTGCACGACTGTCCCCCTGCCAAAGCAGTCACTCAACAGCTCCTGGTGTCCCACTAAGTCCACGTTTGTACGACTCCCTCATTCCACTGTCCATGTGGGTTGAACCATGTGAACTGTGTACAACCTCCTGCCCTTCCAATCCCGTAGCCTTCCTGCCAGCAGCCCCCTTCCCCAGTGCCTTGGGGGCTTCTGCCCTGATGGCGCAGCATAGCCGGACTGTCCACACTGCCCCACAGCGCTGCCCCACATTATGTCACCCGCCCACCTTGGTACAAGGAGGTTGTGTGTCTGTCACAACAGGCTCCTCACACACTGCCTGTCACCACCAGCCTAACGGTTCTGTGTGTGTGTGAACTTGGCGAGGCCAGGGTGCCCAGCTGTTTGGACAAACAGTGGTCGAATCGCTGGTGTGCTGATGCCCGTGCTGTTCTCTGCAGTGACCCGTGAGGACAGCCAACTCCTTCCCCCGGCAGTCATCTTCATGTCTGTTTGCCTTCCCTTGCTGGAGAGGGCCAACCTCAGGAACACTGAAAGCATCCGACTGTCTATACCTTTGCCTCCGCTAAGCTGCTGAGCACCTGTTCTGTCCACCAGGCATACCTCTCACTCCACAGGCTGTGTCCAGGTGCGGGTGACGCAGGGAGGAGCGCTTGTACACCACATGGGGGCCGCTTTCCTCTGGGCCTCGGGATCCCTTGGCCCCACCTTGCAGGGGCTCGATCAGGTACTCTTCTTCGTCGGCCACAATCAGGCCATGCTGGGGGGTGGAGGGTGAGGCAGGCAGTTTGAATCAGTTCAGGTTCCCAGGGCTATGCCCCTGTTGGGTCTTTCGTCCACTCCTAGTGGGGTTCCTTGGCCATTTCTTTTCTGACTTCTCAAGATGGCTAGTCAGCTTGTTAATTTTGCAGCTGCACCAAAGGCTACATATTTTCCTCAGAGTCCTGCTATAGCTCTACCCTAAAAGTGGGGACTCACTGAAAATACCTAAAATATTCCCATCATATCTTTCTCTGAAGCATGAGATGTGTTTCTTATATTGGATACCATATTATACTATTGTAGTTAGCTGCCATCCAGCTGATTCTGACTCTTGGCAACCCCGTGTGTACACAACCGGACTTCTATACAGGGTTTTCAGGGCTGGGACTTTTGGGAAGTAGATTACCAGGTCTGTTTTCTGAAACACCTCTGGGTGGGCTAGAAGTCAAGTGCTGGTATCTATCTATCTATCTATCTATCTATCTATCTATCTATCTATCTATCTATCTATCTATCTATCTATCTAATCTATCTATCTCTATCGTCCATATCTATCTATCTACCTACCTACCTACCTATCTATCACATATCTCTTTCCCAGAAACCCCCAGCTCACCAGGCCCCCACAGGTGCTGATGGCCACATGAGAGCTGCCCGCTTGACCCTGCAGGTGCCCGGCGTAGAGGCAGTGGCGCCTGGCAGCCTTCTGCCAGGCCAGGCCCTCTCGGGTCCAGTATTCCACGGAGATGTGCCCTGCCAGCAGGCGGGGGCTGTGGGTCAGGTTCAGCAGGAAGTGGGTGCTGGGTGCGGCCACCTTGTAGAAGAGGCGGGATTCAGCTGTGGCCCTGGTGCCCCGGCGCTGCCTCCGGGGGGCCGGGGGCGCGAAGGCCAGCAGTGCCCCATTGTGGTCCACACGGGTGGGGAAGGTGATCTCATAGCTTCCCAGGCTGGACAGGAATTCATCTGTGGGTGCAGGGCGGGGTAGGGGGGGGTACTGGGGTTAGTCCTGGGGCTGAGCCATGGCACCTGGCTGCTGGGATAGGTAATACTGGCCTCACTTTCACCCTGTATGCAGGTCACCAGGTGTAAGACTTGAGTCTAAGTGAACCCAGGGCCATCCCCCAGGCCCCACTGCCTCTCTGTGTTAATCTGCTCCCTCTTGCTACCCTTGTTACCTTGACCTTGAGACTGGACTGCCCTGACCTTGAGACAGGACTGTCATGACCTTGGTATTACAGTACCCCTACCTTGAGAGTGGAAGGCCTGCGGTGCAACCTGGAAGGTGAGGCCCAGCCCCAGGGCAAGGGCCCAGCGGAGGATCTGGCAGGCGGGAGCCATGGTGTCCACGTGTCCACATGTCTCTCTCCAGCCCTGGCTGCCGGCAGCCCCCACAGCACTGCCTCCCCTCTTCACAGCCTGGGCAGCATCCCGGGGCTCCTGGTGGTAGGTGAGAAGTTGAGGTCAGGGGTAAGCCCAGCTGCCAACACAGTCCATGCCCAAGGCCTGAAGATTCCAGAAGATAACTCTCAATTGAAGACTGTGAAGGCTCCTTCTTCATTCCGGGACCCCAACAGTAACCATGTTGCTGTTTATGCAGGGACCCTGACACCGTCCCATGGGGTTTTCTGGGCTGTAACCTTAACTGAATCCTGGCGGAAGCACTCAGCTGTTAACAGACGAGGGTCAGTGTTTCAAAGCCCCAAGCGACCCTGTGTGTGAGAAAAGACCCGCGGACCCCACTCCTATAAAAATGAACCAAAGCCGAAACAAAGGACCCACAAAGGCTCACTGCCGTCGGGGAGCTTCTGACTCCTAGTGACCTCGCGGGGCAGGGTAGAACTGCCCCACAGGGTTTCTGAGGCTGTAGATCTTCACACTAGCAGACAGCCTCATTTTTCTTCTCTGGAGCGGCTGGTGGGTTTGAACTCCTGACATTTCGGCATGTGGCTTAGTGCTTAACGCAGGCCCCCCCCTCTCCCCCCCGCCACACACACCAGGCCTCTTCCGGGGAAGATGACAGCCCAGAAACCTCAAAGGGGTATTCTGCTCTGTCCTGGACAGTGGCGTGAGCTGGAATCCACTCAACAGTACGCGCCATCACCGACTTCAGTGGGAGCAGACTGCCAGGCGTTCTCTTCCGGGAGGGCTACAGGCGTTCACACTACCCACCTCTGGGTCTGCAGTGGAGTGCAAACCCTTAGACTGTCCTGGGATCTACTGAGAGCTCTCTTAGCGGCCTGCCAACTCAACCAGTACAAGCTCATTTGACTCAGTCTACCGAGGAGGACACAGCTCTGTGATTCGCAGGATCCCACTGCTAGGAAAGAGTGGAGCCCGCAACCCGTGCGAGGATTGGGGGTTGGTTTGCTCAGTGGTGTCCCAGACCCACAAGCTCATTGTCTCTGGAGTGAGGGAGGGCAGACAGGTCAACCAGGTGTGAAGAGGCTGAAAGAGTGCACCAGGAAAAACCCATGCAAAGGCCCTGGGGCAGGGAGGGGCTGGGTGCAGGTCCTAGACCACAAGGCCAGTATGACTGGAGCCAAGAGGGTGGGAGACAGGGACAACAAGCAGCAAGGACAGGCTGCCATGGGACACATTGGAAAGCTATGGGTTTTTACCCCAGATGAAACCCAAGATCCCCTAACTACCCCTGGGACCCCTGACCTTCTATGGACTTCTGCCCGGGGGTTCACCACCACCGCCCCCCCCCCCACACGTGGGACCTGTCCTTGCAGTCTCCCTTCCAATTGCACCCACAGTTCTGAGGCTCTGGACCAACCTCTGCAGGTCTGTTTCTCTGGTCCCTGCCCCGGGGCCAACCTGCCGCAGACACCACTTTGGGCCGCTGCCCTGTGCCAAAACCTCCCCCTGCCCCCACCCTCCTCCTCCCTGCAATTTCCCCCTTAATCACACACTGTCTTGCTTTCTTTGCAGCGGGGCCAAGTCTGAGCACTGATCTCCCCACACAGCAGTTGGGCCCCAGACCGAGGGAGCCTGCGTTTCTCCCAGGGGCTGACCTGAAAGTGACATGACCCGCTTCTCCTTGCACCCCAACAGCGATGGGGAGCTCACTCCCCAACGTTCCCAAGTGTTTGGCTGGGCTGGCGCCTGCCCCGTTATTTTTACCTGGGGGTGGGTGGGGGGCTCTCTGGAGATGAGGACAGAGGAAGGGACAAAGAGGAAGAGCCTGGTGGTCTTCAGGCTGAGCTGGGTCTGGGGACTCCGGGGCCCCTCCCTCCTTGCACCCTGGAGAACCTGCTTTCACACCTGGACCCCCCTGGTAGGTTCCCTTTATAGCAGCCCATAATCGGCTTCCTGATAGGGCTCCCCCACCCCCATGCCAAGGTGGCAGCATTCACTTTGCAACCCCTGGGCCAAGTGTCCGTCATCTGCCCCCCCCCTCCCCCCCCTCAGTCAGCAGCAGTCCTCTGAAGACCGACCCTTGGCTCCCAACAACTTCACAAACGCCTTTTGTGTTTCTGGCCAGTGGGGACCTGCGGGGGCAGGGCCAGGGCCAGGCAGGGGAGGGGCCTAGGGAGGCCATGCAGGTCTTGGTCAGAGGCATAGGGGAGCTGCCATGGGAAGGGGGCCCAGCCCTCGGGGCAGGTTGGAGGAGGGCAGATCAGAGTTCTGGGGGAGATGAGGCTCCCCCAGGGAAAGTGGGGGCCAGGGGGCTTCCATCAGGAAGGGCTGGGGGCTGGGACTTGGTGGGCAACAGGGGGTTTTGAGGTGGTACACATGTGAATATGTGCATGGGGATGTGCGAGTATATGAGAGGTGTGTGTGTGTGTGTGTGTGTGTGTGTGTGTGTGTGTAGGGGGGACTTTGAAGTAATATGTGTGTGAGCCTATGCATGTAAGTGTGTTGTGTTGAGTGTATGGGAGAGTGAGGTTGTGTATGCATGTGTGGCTGGCCCTCCATTCCCAGCCCCTCCTCCAGAGGCAAGAGGGAGGTGGAGGCGGGGCTGGAGGGGGTGCTGAGCCGGGAGGAAATGCCGGCGGAAACGGCCCGGAAACTTCGGCTCCATCCCATCCCGGGGATCCTGGAGGGACCAGGGCTCTAGCAGACCTCCCGGTTGGGGTGGGGTCACTGGCTGCTCTGTGGGGCCAAGGCCTGGACGTCCAAGCCCCACCGGCCTGCAGCCTCCCCTGGGCACCTCACATCTGGCTACATCTGGTTGGGCAGCAGATTCGGCGGAGCAGCCCAGTGCAGACAAAGGGCCTGGCGGCAGGAGGAAGGGGCCTCGGTCGCCTGGGCTGGCTTCCCCCGCCCTCCCACCACTAATTAGAGGCTCTGAGCCCGCCGGCCTGAAGACAGCCGGAGAGAGACAGACAGCAGTGGCCTCGGTGACCGGCTGTGGGGAAGTGGGCGGCGCAGCTCAGACCCACACCCAGACACAGATAGACACACACAAACTCACAGACACAGATAGGCACACACACAAACACACACACATAGACACACAGATACAGACATACACAGACAGACAGACAGACAGACACACATAGATACTCACAGATACACACATACACACACTCAGATATAGACACACACAGATACACAGAGACAGACACACAAACACGGAGACACAGATGCAGACACACATGGACACACAGACAAACACACACTGACGGACACAAACTTGCCAGAGGGCGGACAACACCTGCACAGCCCCAGGGGCAGAGGTTTGAGGCAGTGGGCAGACCCAGCGAGGGTTCTCCACCAGACACACATCTACACAAACGACACACTCAACCCGGACACACACACAACCCCTCACTGCCCAGACGAATGTGGGCCCTTCCACACTCAATTACAAATGAACACAAGTCCAACCCAGATCTGTACACAAACACACCGTTTACACCAAACACTGGCAGCTACAGCTGGACACACTCATTTACGTACACTTACGCACAGGCCAGGGACAAACACCAAGTCCCTTCCCACACCAGCAACACTTACAGGCCTTTGCACACTCACCACACGCCGACACACACTCAACGGGCACTTACACACGAGCTGTGCAAAAGTTACCCACGTCCACACTCGGGTTTACACTCTTCCCCAGGCACCCAACACCTCGATGGTCACACACATGCAACCCCCGCCCCAAAGTCGTATCCCTATCTCCAGACACACAAAGACACACACACACACCCCACTTAACGCAGACGTGGATGCCTGCACACACACCGCACACCCGCCCAGACAG